AGTACCATAATCTACATTGATCTCACAACGCTTAAGCCGAACCTACTCGAACAATTCTATTCGGGGGGATAGCTAATTCTTTTTGATAAGTCTCGCCATAGACTTCCAAAACATTTATGGGAAAACCAAACACCCAATCTCAAGTCGTTCGTCTAAAAGACAACAGACAATTGCACCAAACTATATTTTACCATGTAAAGCTAACTTCAGTTGTAGTGAGTCACGTGGGTACGTGTCACTAGTTGTAGTATGACAATATATCCCCGTTTATATGCATACATTTTCACGAGTTCCTCATCTTTCTGACTGTGTAAGTCGTGCATTGAATTTTAACAAAAATGTAACGAGAGACGTTATTTATCTTTGACCCATCAAAATGAATGCGGCCATTTATTTTCAGAATCAAAGTTTAACATCAAACATTTACATTAATTTGGCAAAATATGAAAATAATAACAGACAAGTTTCACAGAAAATGAGCATCGATCACGAGGACTTTGCTTCAAATATTTCTAAAATATCTGTACTGATTTTATGAGGAAGAGAAGAGTTTAAGATGAAATGGAGATTTATCTTACAGAGAACTATGTGAGGGAATTAATCTGTTTGACCAGAACGTGCACGCTTCATCAGATCTCAGCTCGCCTCCGGTACACTTTAGTCGAAGAAGAGACCGTTACCTGGTTGATGATAGATCAGCTCGATAGAGAATCCTCCAGACCTTTCAGCGTCTCCGTTGAGAGCAACTGAAATCCTTAGATAGTCGTGTGTGGTTTGTTCAAACAGAAGTTATAATTCCAAAACGTCTCTGACTCTCCTGAATTCTCGAATTCTCTTCCATTCACTTCACCATTCTCCATGAATTCTCCATGAATTCTTCATGAATTCTAACATGAACTGGGAAGTTGCCACATTTTAAATGGGTCGACTTCCGGTTCAATTTAGAGCTTTCTGATTCGTGGATGGACCAGAAAGAGGTGTGTTTTTGTGATGTAAGATGTTATCATAAGTCAAGGATTGTTTTCAACATACAGAAAAGATTATTGCAGACGACCAGACTTCGTGGAGTCTCATGCTGTTGTATCTTCTCAAATAGTAAAACATGACATTTCTTCTCAGTAAACATTTTAGTTGACCAAGACTCAACCTTTCACATACTTACATTGTTTGGCTCATTTCAGACAGAGAATCAAGAAATGCATATTAACCTGATTTCTTCTTTGAATGAGGAATAAAAATCATTACTTACTGTTTATGTAAAATAAAAATGAGTAGTTCTTTTCAACCTGTAAGCATTGAATGGAACTAACACAATTTGATTATCAAACATTTGTAAAAACAGTAATGATTATAAAAATTGTCTTTGCTGCTTGATTAATTCAAGAAAGAAAGTCACCAGATGGCTCAGACTGTATTCAGATCAATGAAAATAACAGTCTCTGTCCATCTGATAGATTTGAGGTCATCAGGGTCAGATCAGGTTCACTACAGAGGTATGCACTTGAAAGAAGAGGAATGAAAATCAGCCTAGTAAGACAGAGTCCATGCGTGTGAATGAGAGGGAGGAGGTGGAACAGTGAGGCTACAAGGAGCAGAGGTCACAAAGGTGCAGGACTTCAAGGACTTGGGGTCCACTGTCCAGGAAAATGGGGAGTGTGGTAAAGAGGTGAAGAAGAGAGTCCAGGCAGGATGGAGTGGATGGAGAAAAGTTTCAGGAGTGATTTGTGACAAAAGAGTGTCAGCAAAGGTCAAAGGAAAATATTACAAGACAGTGGTGAGGCCAGCTATGTTGTATGGTCTGGAGACAGAGACATGGACAAAAAGACAGGAGACAGAACTGGAAGTGGCAGAAATGAAGATGTTGAGGTTCTTCTTAGGAGTGACAAGGATGGAGAACATCAGGAACGAGATCAATTCAAGTAAATTCAATTCAGTTTATTTATAAAGCGCTAAGTCACAACAGAAGTCGTCTCAGGGACTGAACAGAAACATTCATATATAAAATAATAATTTAACATTATTTATCTGAGGAGCAGACTGCTCTGAGTTTAACTCTCATCTTGAACAAGCATGAAGAAACAGTGGAAAGGAAAAACTCCCTCATGAGGAAGAAACCTTTAGCAGAATTACGATCAGGACAAGTGGACATCTGCTTCAACCAGCTGGGTTTGGTAGGAACAGATACACAATGGCAGGTCAAGAATCACATGTTAAGATAGAAATAGTATCAAATGAAAACTATTCAATTTTAGTAATTCATTTAATAAAATGAGGTCAATTTGTCCTCTAGTAGTCTAAGCTTAAGGCAGCATGACAAGCCAACACTAACTATAGGACAGAAACAAGTTCATCCATCCTTTATTTATACAGGTAAATCCCATTGAGCCTCGAGGACTCATTTACAAGAGACCTGATTTCAACAAAGAAAGATGACAACAATGGACAACAGCAACAACAATAAACAATTATAAAAAGTCATACTGCAGGTTTTTTTTCAATCAAATAGGATGGCTAAAAAAGGCAACAAAAAATAAGTAGATTATAAGGAGAATGTAGAAAACTAAAAACAGGAACATGTCTGCATTGGTCCCTGCCAGGAGTCCAACAGATTCTTAAAGACACTTAGAGAGGTCAAAGGTCGAGAGCTTCAAATCTTTTTACAAGATATTCCAGGAAACAGGAGCGGAGCAGGAGAAGACCCTTTTGTCTAGTTCAGTCCTCACTGAGGGAAGTAAGCCTGAAGTCTGAGAGCGAAGTGCTCTGTTAGGAAAATATGGAACAATAAGATCTGTAATATAAGATGGAGCTAGGTTGTTGAGAGCTTTGTAGGTTAGAAGTAAGATTTTTAATTCTATTCTGGATTTGACAGGGAGCCAATGGAGAGAAGCTAAAACTGGAGAGATATGATCTCTCCCAGTAACTCCAGTTAAGACTCTGGCAGCAGCATTTTGGATCAACTGAAGACGTTTTAAGGAAATATTTGGACATCCAGATAATAAACCATTGTAATAGTCCAGTCTAGACGTGACAAATGCATGGACCAGTTTTTCTGCATCATCTTTAGATCAGATGTTTCTAATGTTAGTGATATTACGCAGGTGGAAGAAGGAGGTTCTAGTAACGTTTTTAATTATAGAGATACGAGAGATAAAGTTAGAGAGGCCAGACTGAGATGGTTTGGACATGTCCAGAGGAGGGACAGTGGTTTGGACATGTTTAGAGGAGGGACAGTGGTTTGGACATGTTTAGAGGAGGGACAGAGGTTTGGACATGTCCAGAGGAAGGACAGTGGGTATATTGGTAGAAGGATGTTAGAAATGCAGCTGCCAGGAAAAAGACAAAGAGGAATGCTGAAGAGGATACACTGTATGAGTGACACCCACATCTGCCACCTCATTTGCCCCACTGTGAGCCCTTGAGAAAGGCCCTTAACCCCCCACCCCACCCAGATCAGTGATCAATGGTTGTGTCAGGAAGGGCAACTGGGGTAAAAACAGTTGCCAAATCTTCATTCGAGTTTATTTGCTCTGGCAAACCCTTAAGAAAAGAAAAGAAGTACAATTGATAATTCCAAAGTAATATTGTGCCAAATGCCTAGAATTTTACTTCTGCTCTTTGTAATACAGTCACAAAAGTGTAAAGTTGATGTTAAAGTGAACTGCAGCCGGCAGTAGGCTGTATATTTCACCTGCTAACATGCTAACTCTTGCAGCTTATTGCAAATATTTGATTCAAAGCAGTGTAACTTCCAAAGAGGTGATGCTTTTATAGCCTCTATCCACTGGATGAAATGTGCAACCAACTGATGTCATCGTGTTTTAACAAGCAAAAGTTTAGAGAAATGTCCCTCTTGGCCACCGTCCAAAACTGAATGACAGCTCAGAGCAACAGAAGGAGAAGGGGGCACCGCTCGGCTCCATGTCACGTAAGGGAGGGGAAAAACATTTTGTCTCTGTTTATTTATTCAAAGGCTTTTAATCTATGTGAACCATGAAGTACCACTTCTAGTAAACCACTTCATGCACTGACAGCAGGTAAGATACTTTTTTCTTCTTTCGGCTGCTCTATTCTTCAGGGGTTGCAACAGCAAGAAAACTCACAATTGTTTTTACGCCCTTCCTGGCCCAGCCACAGACACCGAGCTACCACAGCCCTCTGTGTGGAGCAGAGAGCTGCTTCTAGGCCCCCGGGAGCAGATGGTGGGGTTGAGTCATGAGAACTCATTTTCAAGAGAGACCTGTTTTTGGGAGCAGATGGGGGCAGTTAAAGGCCTTGCTCATGGACCCAGTGGGGCAAATGAGGGTGGAGGCAGGTGTGGGTGTTACACCTTTCCCACCCACACTTTGATGTTATGGTCAGGGGGATTCGTACTGGCAAACATCCCATCACAGGCTTGTCTTTAACCTCTGCGCCACCACTCCTCCTCCTTATCTTCACCTCCCAAACCTCTCTTAAAAATTGCAATAATCTTTTGTTTTTATCTCATTTTTAACATCTCTAACTATTACCTAATTATTAACAGACACAGGTTAACATGTCCTCCATACTTTCACTGTAAATGAGACAACTTGTACAATATCACAGTGACATCATCCATCCATCCATCCATCCATCCATCCATCATCCATCCATCTGAACCAATGAGACTCCAAATAAAAAATGTAACAGTAAGGAACTCTGGTCACACGAGTAGTTCTGAGTCTACATTACTGAAACAGTTCTGACACAAACTGGATGAATCTGACTGGACTTTCTGCTCACAAAAACCAAAGGCTGTTTTTATAAACTTTAACAAAGTCTGACTGAGGTTTTATCTTCCGTTACTCAAAGAGCAACAACTTCTTTTAACGGACCCCCCCCCCCCCCCCCCCCCCCCCCCCCTCTTTAAACAACTCGGAGGCAAAAAGAAAATGTCCAGCGAGACTTACAGGCTGTGAAGAGGACGAGGATCCCGGTCCAAAGAGCCCAGAACCGAGCCATGATCTGCGGGACAAAGACGCGGGCTGTGCGCGTGCTGTCCGTGCGTTGATCCCCGGTTCCAGCGGAGGGAAAGCCTGCGGGCGGAGGAGCAGCTCCAGATGTTTTTCATCCAGATGTGGTTTGGCCCCGCCCCTGGAGCTGCTGCCTCCGGTTCTGAGGCTCCACATGTGGGACAGCCAGAACCAGAACTCACATCTGTCCGCTCCTGCTTCAGGGCTCGTGAGGGAGAAACAGAAAAAGCACGAGTTGGTCAAAAACTTTTGTATTTTCTGTGTAGAGTTGTTCCAGTGATGAACAGTCCTGTCCCTCTGAGCTGTTTTACTGATCTCAGCATCAGCACATCCTCTATGATGTTTTCAGTTCGTGTGAGAAGGTGCAACGACAAAATGAGCTGAAATAAACAAACTCAATAACAGCTGAAGGTCAAGCCATGCTGCTGCAGACTGGATTTTAAACACGTTCAAACAATTTGGGAGAATGTTCTCCAAATATTCAGAGCTGTTGCCAGCATCTCAGACCCTTCTCAGTTTAGCTCCCACCAGTCAGAAAGTGTCATCACACTTTCAGGTATTTCGGCTGTTCCTGTTCGGCTCACTCAGAACAACCATAGATTTTTGTAGCTTTTGTACTTTTTCAAGTATTTAGCTTTACAGATGTTTTTCTTGTTAGAAGGAAAAACAATCAAATCTTTGAACAACTTTGTGTTCCTCTAAATCTTCTTGGGCTCACACAGTTCATGTGAAGCTTTTAGCTGCTCTTTAGCTCATGTTCTGTTCCTCCCGTACATTTGAAAACTTTCTCTTGTCCCACACTTCATTTCTGATCTGCTCAAGATAATTTATCAAAGCCTCATACACATCTGGATCATCATCAGATGGAGTGTCACACGAGGTCAAGGTCACAAATAAAGGTCAAGCTTAAAACGAGGTCTTTGTCCCGCCCATAACTTCTGATCCGCTCAAGATACTTTCACAAAACTTGATACAAATTTCTACCACCACGTATTACACAACATGTTGTGTAATATTTATATCACTCCAGCTTTAAAGTCCATCCATCCATCCATCCATCCATCCATCCAAACATCCATCCATCCATCCAACCATCCATCCATCCAAACTTCCATCCATCCATCCATCCAACCATCCATCCATCCATCCAAACATCCATCCAACCATCCATCCATCCATCCATCCAT